CAACAGTGTCTCAAAAGGGAGAATTAGGGAAAGGTACACATAGGATTTGGGAGGGGGCTGATATTAATCATAGGATGCCTTTATGGTATAAGTTAGCAGCTTGGGCAGGGATTGGTCAGAATTTGTAAACTAGGTGAATTGGTAGAACATATAAGAACATATAGGTTTAAACAAGCTGGTGTTAAAAATAAGAGAATAGATAGTTTGTGTTGCATGCCATGAAATGGTACGGTTGACCCATTTTGCAAATCATGATTTTTACTTCATTTCTCAGTCCTCTTTCTTTCAATCTTCAGCCTAAGTTGGAAGAAAGACTATTGTTTTCTGAGTCCAGATCTGCATTGTTATTTAATAAATTGCAATTGGGTATTCAGTTTTTTGTGGTAGTCATTTTGGCTTCTACTATCAGGCCTTTTTGTTTTTTTTGTTGGATGATCATTTGTTGACTTATTTAGTGTAGCGGCAGTAGCATTTAAGACTCTGAAGATTATAAGTCTGGTAACTGCAACATAGACAATACACTAAGGCAAAACTTATCAGAATTTACAAAGCATTTCCAAGCCATAAGCTTAGATTTTCAAAAGTAGACAATGAAAATATGTGCCAAAATCTATTTGAATCTTCCTTATATGATCAAGTGTCTTTTTTTCACTTTAATTTGGGTTGGGTTTGTTCAACCTTACCAATGTTTTGAAAAGTTAGTCCCGTATCTGGTAATTGTCAAGGATATGGGTCTTGGGAATACGATGAGTAAAGGACAAATGTATTCATCAACAATCTAGAACCTTAAGCCAGAAGAGGGTGAAGAAAACAGCCAAGAGGATAAAGATACAAAGCAGAAAGTGGCAGTCGGTGAAATCTCGTTCCAATGGTCTCAGGTGGAAACAGTCGACTTCATGCAGTCATCAGCTTATTCCAAGGATGTAGGGGTAGCTGTGTGTTCTCATGGACCATCTACTTATGGACGTTATCTAAACTCCTTATCATACCTTGTAAAGCCATAAATCATCTGGATATATCTCTGAGAACACATTATATAATAAAAGTTTATTTCATTGATCCCTCCAGACAGAATTACGTGTCCTTTTTCTCATTTCTTATCAACTCATAGAGACCCTACAGGATAGGGTAGAACTGCCCCATAGGGTTTCCAAGAAGCAGCTGGTGGATTTGAACTGCCGACCTTTTGGTTAGCAGTCGAGCTCTTAACCACTGCACCACCGGTGCTCCTCATTTCTTATGCATACTATTTCTATGCATACCTCTATCATAATACTTTAATACATTGTGTTAATATTTTTGTCTAATTCATCTCTGTATCCTAAGAATCTAGAAGAGTGCTTTGCCCATACTGAATCCTTAGCAAATGTTTTTGACTGATTTTATTTTGGATGACAACCATTTGTCAAGCGCTGTACTAGTTTTGTTCTTTTTTTTAATATAACATTTTATTGAGTTTTTGGTGAAAATTTAAACAGCAATTTAGGTTCCCATTTAACAATTTCTACACATATTGTTCAGCGACATTGGCTACATTTTCCACATTGCACCAACATTCTCATTATTTTCATTCTGGCTGTTCTGCTTCCATTATTCTTGCTTCCCTGCCCGCCCCTCCCCCCAACCAAATCATCTTTGCTTTAGGGTAAATGTTGACCATTTGGTCTCAGACAGATGATTGTTTTCTTGTGTTTTTATATAAAAGGAGCACAGTACTCATGGGTGACAGTGTTTATTTTATGAGCCAATCTGTTATTTAGTTGAAAGGTGACCTCTAGGAGTACTTTCAGTTCAAAGTTTAAAGGGTATCTCAGGGTGGTAGTCTCGGGGGTTCCCCAGGTCTCCTCCGGTCCAGTAATTCTGGCCTTTTTTTAAAAAAAGATTTTGAGTCCTGTTCTATGATTTTCTTAAATTCTATCTGGGATCATCTATTGTGGCCCTGGTCAGAACAGGTCTGTAGTGGTAGCCAGGCACTATCTAGTTCCTCTGGTTTCTGGTTAGGTGAGGTTGTGGTTTGCGTAGGCAGTTGGTCCTGTAGACTGATTTCTTCTTTGAGTATTCAGTTTCCGTCTTTCTCTTTTGCTCCAGACGAGGAGAGACCAATAGTTGTAACTTAGCTAGCTGCTTGCAAGCTTTTAAGACCCCAGATGCTACTCACCACACTAGGACGTATAACATAAACTTTATAGACTTATGCTGTGCCAAGTGACTGAGATGTCCCACAAGACTATGGTCCTAAGGCTTCAAACCCAGTAAACCAATCCTGCAAGGTGTTTGGTTACGTCTGGGAGGTATCCGTGACTGTGCCCCTTATGTGTTTTATTACATGTATGAATATATGTGTAACATTCACAAACATGTATGTAGATATGCTTAGAGATATACCTATATATGCTCACACATACACACACATATATCATCCTATACACATATATGTGCACATATCTGTTTATGTAACCACTCACATATTTTTTGGTTCTTACTGCTCTTGTTGCCAAATTATACATGCTACAGCATTTACCAATAACGTCCCTTATTCTTGTGTACTTCTTAGTGTCATCCTTTACCTTGATTAAGTTGTGCTCACTTCACTGATATTTGGTGTCGCCTCTCCCATCACTAAAACTAACAAGTGTCTACTGTCTAGAAAGTGACTACCCTTCCTTGTTCCTCCCATTCTGGTAACTACCAAAGAACGCTCACATCTTTGTGTTCGCCTATTTTTGTCTTTTTATAAAGTGTGATCATGTAATATTTGTCCTTTTGTGCTTGACTCAGCATAATGTCCTCCAGATTCATCCATGTTATGTTTCCTGCATTCATCATGATTCTTTACAGCTGTGTACTATTCCATTGTATGTATATACCACATTTTGTTTAGCCATTCATCCATTGATAGGCACTTAGGTTGTTTCCATATTTTTGCTATTGTGAACAATGCTGCAATGAACATAGGTATGCATATGTCTATTTATGCCACTGCTATTAGATCTCCAGGTATATACCTAGAAGTGGGATTGCTGGATCACAGGGTATTTCTACTTCTATCTTTTTAAGGAAGCACCATATCATTTTCTATAGTGACAGTACCATTTTACATTCCCACCAGCAGTGGATAAGGGTTCCAGTCTCCCCACAACCTCATCATCATTTGCTGTTTTCCTTTTGAATAGTGCCATTTTTGCTGGGGTGAGATATCTCATTGTAGTTTTGATTTGCATCTCTCTGATGGCTAATGATCATGAGCATCTTTTCACGTGTTTGTTGGTCCCTTGAATGTTCTCTTTGGTGAAGTGTCTGTTCATGTCCTTTGTCCATTTTTTAATGGGATTGTTTGTCTTTTTGTTGTTGAATTTTTGAAGTTTTCTATATATTTTAGAGATCAGACCCTTATCAGATGTATCATTCCCAAAGATTTTTTTCCCAACCTGTAGGTTCTCTTTCTACTCTTTTGGAGAAGTCTTTTGATGAGTATTCAATTTTTATGAGAAGTTATCTAATTTGTTTTGTTGCTCATGCATTTGTAGTTGTGTTTAGTAATAACTGAAAATAATAAGGTGTCATAGTTTTGTCCCTATATTATCTTACAAGAATACTATAGCTTTAGCCTTAACATTTAGGTCTTCGATCCATTTTGAGTTAGTTTTTGTATACAGTGTTAGATATGAATCCTGTTTCATTTTTCTGCCAATGGATATCCAGTTTTGCAAGCACCATTTGTTAAGGAGACTGTTTCTACCTATTGAATGGACTTTGACCCCTTGTCGAAAATCAGCTTCCCACAGATAGATGGATTTACTTCTGGATTCTCGATTCTATTCCATTGGCCTATGTGTCTGTCATTGAACCAGTACCAGGTTGTTTCGATTACTGTGGCTGTACAATACGTTTTGAGATCGAGGAATGAGAGGCCTCCTGTTTGTTCTTCTTCAATATTGCTTTGGCTATTCAGGGCCTCCTTCTTTCCCACATAAAGTTGGTGATATGTTTTTCCATTTCAGTAAAGGATGTTGTTGGAATCTGTACTAGTTTTTTTAATGTACATTATTTTAATTCTGATAAGAAACCTGCAAGATATGTACCATTATTCCTGCTTTATATATGAGAAAACAAAATAAAATGCCCAGAGTTTTGCATCTAAGCGTGTCTGACTCCAAATCCAGTGCTAATCCCATCACCTCAAATGAATTAATAAATCTCCTTCATTTTACTAATTGATACCTGCTGGTCAAAATTCACTATCCTAATTTTAACATTAACAATAAACTTCTGATTTTATTTTAATTCAATGTTGCCTGTTTTAATACATTTTTACTTCATTCAGCCTCTTAGGTTACAGAGGGAAATGGACTCCATATATCTTAATATCTCATGTATCTTGTTTTTATTGTTTCATAATTAGAGAGTTTTTGATGATGATTCGGGGTCAAGGTTTGGTTAATCTTACTTTTTAAGGAAATGATTACATTAATAACCAGTCTCCACATCATCTTTTGAACAGCTATAAAAGGCCCAAATACATCATAAGTCATATTTAAATTATAAAATTAATACACCTGAAAGAAAAGAAAGTGTGGCAGGAGTGAGTTAGAGATAGTAAGAGAGCCTCATACATGCGAGAGAAGTTGTAGGTCACTCTGATTATTGTCTTTTCAGTCATGCTTGGTGAAGCAGTGTGTATTAAAGCAGCATACGGAACTTTTATGAAAGCTTTAGGAGTACCTGAAATAGTCTCATGAGGAACTCTTAGCAGTAACAGTGCAGGCTCTAGAGTCAGACAGATTTGAGTTCTAATCCTTCCTCCCCCAACTAATAGCTTAGCAAAGTTAAGCAAGTTACTTAACTTTTCCTAAGGCTTAGATTCTTCATCTCAAATGGAAAGAAAAGAAGTGGTTTAGGTAGGATAGCTAAGTATTTTAACACACAGCATCAGAATTTCAGAGGCATTATATAATAAAAGTTTATTTCTAAAGCTAGTAAAAAATCTAACACAGGTGTACCTGGTCCTGCAGTTCTAGACAGCGTTCCTCCGAGGATTCATTAGGGACCCCAAGCTTCTTCTATTTTGAGGCTTCGACTTCCTCTAGATTCTCTGAAGTCTTCATTCAGCTGGTGGGTAGGGAAAGAGAAGAGAATGAAGGATGTGTAGGTTTTAGAGGAGTAGAGCCTTAAATAGCTGTCATCACTTCTGCCCACGTTTTTTTAGCCAGAAATTAGTCACATGACCCAAACTAACTGCAAAGGAGGCTGAGAAATGCAGTCTAGCTGTGTTCTCAAGAGGAAAAAGAAACAGTTTGGTGAACACAAAGCTGTGTCTGCCACCGTAAGGGTATGAGGTTGTTTTAGGGTTTAACTGAGGTAATGCGTGTAATGTACTTCGCACAGGGGTAGGTAATCAACAAAGTCACCTGTTATTATTTTGATCACATATATGTATGCTGAGAACCTGAATAAGGGTCCCACAGTTGGACTGGGTGTACCTGCTTAGGGCCAAGTTCCAGCACAAGAATTCAGCTACATTCAAAGAAAAGTTCTTACTTTTCTGTAAGGTTATGATCTTTAATAGATTTGGCAACATCAGGAGTGTAAACATGGAAAGGTAAGGGAGGAAGGGGATGCCAGGGGTTCTTATCAGCTTAGCCAACAGACTGTCAAAAGATAATTTAGATAAACCTCATGTCTAAGAAGTCTGGGAATAGCAAACTGGTGGACTCTCTTTGGATTTGGGAACGGGCTAAAGTGAATACATGGTAAAAATTCTGGTCAGTCCTCTCTTCCATATTCCTTTTCTCTCTTACTTAAGATAGACACCACTAAGGTTCCTCAAGTGCAGCATATCTTCTCCTCCCCACTTACGTATTTTCTTCTTTGTTGCCACTTAAAAGATTGTAAGATTTCTGAGAACAGTGACCATGTTTGTTTTGAATGTTATTATATACTAGTATTTAGCAATGTATAACACATAGTACGCAGGCAAAAACTGTTTGTTGAATTAATTTAATCTATATTGGCAGTTGCTTCAAGAGGTAGCTTAGGCAACTGGGTAGAGCAATGGAAAGAGAATGAGTTTTTGAATCAAAGCAATCTGGTTTTAAATCTTGGTTTTGTCAATACTTGTAGAATTCTGGGGAAGTTACTTAACTTCTAAGACATGTTTGTTTTCCTTCTATTAAACAGGCACACTACTCTTTTAGGGTTATTATAATGATAATTTAGGAGCCCTGGTGGTGCAGTGGTTAAAGCACTCAGCTGCTTACTGAAAGTTTGGCAGTTCAAATCCACCAGCTGCTCCACGGGATAAAGATGTGGCAGTCTGCTTCTATAAGCATTTCAGCCTTGGAAACCCTACGGGGCAGTTCTACTTTGTCCTATAGGGTAGTTATAAGTTGGAATCGACTCAGCAGCAGTGAGTTTGGTTTTATTTAATGAAAAAATTTAGTGTTTACAGCACACAGAAAGCATAAAAACAACATCAACAACAAAAAACTGTTGCTCCCTCTCCCTGCATCCCATGCCTCTCTACAACATACTTTTTAATTTGGAGAGCCCAGGAAATATGTGCTATTCATATTTTTCCTTGTGTTTTTGGTTCTGTCCATTTGCAAGTAATTAAAGCAATATGGCTTCAAGTTGGTGATCAAAGGTAAGAACTGATTAGTTCCAGAAAACTGATGGGGTCACTGTTAGAACAATAATCAGCACCTAGAATGGTGCCTGACACACAGTAGGTGTTCAACATACATTTTTTGAATGAGTGGATGAATTAATCAAGTAGTGAGATAAGGGTGATGCTCCAGATGGTAACTATGGGATGGACATGCTACATGTGTGAGAAAGTGGGTAGGTTTTATCAAATGAGAGATTTGGCATGATGGTATAGAAAGGGGTGATTTCAAAGCGTTTTCATTTATTCCTTCATTCAGCAATCTACTGCTTGTCTACTATGTATCAGACACAATAGTAGCATACAGCTATCTCTGCTCCCCATGCATGTACAAATAAAACAATAATAAAAAATTAGAAAACAGAAGGATGTACAAAATAGTGCATGAGCAACAAAAGGAAAACTACTAACTGCCTATTCGGGTGTGAAACAACACTGCACATCCAGGAAAGGCAAGTAGTTTGGTATGGCTGGAATACATGTGGGGAGCTGGTGAGAGACAAGGCTCATAAAGCAGTAGTTAAGCAGGGGCCAGATCATGAAGGGCCCTGTATGCCAGGTCAAGAGGCCAATTTTATCTTCTAAGGTAGTGATGAGGGACCTACTGATGGATTTTAGTCATGGATTCACATTAATTTTAACATAAAGATAATTACATTTTAGGTTCAGAAAGATCTGGGTTGGAGGATAGAGATATTCCCATATCTTAGAGAAATGAGCTAAGAAGTTATCAGAATAGTCTAGGTGGGAAAGAGATCTTAAAGGCTGCAACTAAGGCAACAGAAGTGGTATTAGAGAGAAAATGGTTTTGAGAGATACAAGTGAGTTAGACTGAATGAGGGAAATATGAGAAAGAGAGAGAGAGAGACCTAAGAACAAATCATAGGTTTCTGACTGGGGCTTCCAGGCAGGCAATGAGATCACTAATGAAAACAGGGAACAAAGGAGAGGATCAGCATGGATTAAGGATGTAGGATGGTGGGCAATGACAAGAGAAGTTCAGTCTTGGCCATATAGCAATTTTGAGGCATCTGTGGGACTTCAGGTAGACACATATTTTGAACAGATCAAGGAAATTGGAACACAGAAACTTAAGCATATAAAACACGGTAGATCAGTAATTCCTATTCTTAAAACAAGTCCCCATTTTTCTCTAAATTCTTTCAGTTTACAGCTGTATATAAACATCTATGACAATCACTAATTGTTTCCAAATTTAGAAACTTCTAAAACGTACCCTTGAAGAAAAATACAGTGATATTTCTAACAGAAGCTAGTTTGTTAATAAGGTGAACATGTTCACAATTATTTGCACAAAGGTGGTCTCTAAGAAGCTCATTGGAGCACTGGTGACACAGTGGTTAAGAGCTCAGGCTGCTAACCAAAAAGTGAGCAGTTCAAATTCACCAGCCGCTCCTTGGAACGCCTACAGGGCAGTTCTACTCCATCCCATAGGGTCACTATGAGTTGGAATTGACTTGATGGCAATGGGTTTGGTTTGGGTTTTGGAAGAAGCTCATTGGCAAAAGTAATGGTGAAATATTTTCCTACAATGTCATTCATAGCGATGCACAAAAGAACAAGTTTCTTGCTGTGTGCTTAGGAATAACTTTTGCATTTTCCCTAAGGATTAAATATTTAGCTATTGATAGCTACACCATGCTCATGTGGACCTCAGATGGGTGTTTATGCCACTTGGTAACTTATTCAGTGGAACTCTTAGGAAGAGTGGCTGACAACATGTCTTGAGAATTGGGTAATTTTGCTGCCTGATGGACATGGAGCAGCAAGCTGGGCACCAAATCACAGATGGACTGCAGATGCACTGAAGAAAGTCATTACATTTTTGTGATTACAATTTGAGGCTGGCTTGACATAGATGAAGCCTGCTGGTTTAAGAACTGTATGTTCTTGGCAAAAGCGTGGTGCTGCAGAATTTCACCAGCCATAGAGGGAAAAAAAAGGGGTGATGGTGGGAGAGAATAAGAGGAGACTACAAAATTCCTGATATGATACATAAAATGTTAAATATCTATTAACTTTGCATCTTTTGAAAGTCACCAGATTGAAGCACAGTATTTTGGATTTGGCTGGCAGAAGGTGCACACAGACTTTCTGAGTATGTTAGCATTTCATTGGAAACTACCAAGATTACATATGACTACATAACTTAACATGCATAGAGATTTTAAAACTTATTCACAAACCTCGCTGAAGTGTAGGGCCCTAATAAAATTTTAGGAAAAGTTGTTAATAGATTTTTTGGATCTCATAGAACAGATTCCCAGGATACTACGGTTTCTCTAAAATGTCCACACGGCAGTCAGTGTCAATGTCTTCTTTCCCTGAAAATCTAGCTCACCTAACAAGAGAAATGAGGCCAAAAAGAAGAAAGATTAAACCCAGAGAGACGGCAAGTAGGGATGTCTCCGATTCTTTGAATGGGACTTCTCTATTTCCCACCCCTCTCACTTCCTTCTATGGTCTGGACCTTTAATCACCACAGCAGTCAGCCTTGTAGGGTCACGATAATCGCAATTGACATCATCCTACTACTTCCCTTTTCAAATTCCAGTGAAGCTATGTGTTTCCTGCCCTATTTGACAACCTAGAGAATGAACACTGGCCTGTCAGTATCTAAATTTAGACTGGCAGCAACATGTCGAGTTTTCAGAGAAGAGATACACAAAAACAGGTGACATTTCCAAGCCTCTCAGGTAAAGGGAGGAAAACCTTTCTAGAGTAAGCAAGCAGAGAGAGCTTCAACAGTTTCACAAAAGGGAGAGGCCTGCTGGCAGGTTCAAAAATTAGGCCGACTGGAGCCTTTTCCTGAGAACCAGGAGGCCGGCTTTGGGGGCGTCCCTAAACACATTCCCGCTAACGCTAGCGCAGGCCGGGAAGCTGGAGCCCTGACACCCCCTTCTTAAGGGGAAACTGTGCAGGCAGCTGTATCTCCTCTTTGTCAAGCCGTTGGTTTCAACCAGAGGCACGAGGACACCCTTGGGGTGGGGTGGGAGAGGAGAGAAGCTGGAAGCCCCGCCGCGCCGCACCCCCAGCCGCCCTGCCTCGCCGGCCAGACCTCGCCCCGCCCTCCCTCTGTGACCCCCGCGGACCCAGCCACCGGAGACCTGTTGGCAGAGAGTCATGTGACGCGGCCTGCCGCGCACTACCCCCCGAGTGGGCCTCCTGTTGCGCCCGCCGGGCGGGTTCCATCACGTAACGCGCGGGCGCCGCCCCGCTCTTCCCTCGCTGAGCGAGAGGAGGGCGGGCGTCAAAGAGGAACGGGAACGGAAAAGGGGCGGGAGAAGAGAGGAGGGGGAGGTGCCCGAGTCACGTGACTCGGGGGCAGCCCGGAAAGCTCCGAGGAGGAGCCTGGCGCCGCCATTTTCCTGCAGCTGCCTGTCCCTCTTGCCTTGCCCGGCTTCAGCTGACCAGGGGAAGGGGTGGGCTGAGCTGAGGCGGGGGCAGGGGAGTGCCCGAACCCGTGCCCGACTTCGCGGGTGACACGAGTCAGTTCTCTCTGGGCTGGGTGGCAGCGCGCGGCCTTGAGCCCCGCCCCAGGCCGGCAGGCGGGGAAGGAGCCGGTGAGGGGTAGGGGGTGAGGTGGGGGGTGGGGACCCTCCGGCGCTTGAGGGTCCCAGTCCCCGCCGGCTGCCGAGCGGGAGCGGTGGCGGAAGCAGAGGAGCTGCAGAGATGTCCGGCCAGAGCTTGACTGACCGAATCACCGCCGCCCAGCATAGTGTCACCGGCTCCGCCGTATCCAAGACAGTATGCAAGGCCACGACCCACGAGATCATGGGGCCCAAGAAAAAGCACCTGGACTGTGAGTGAAGCCGACCGCGTCCCCCTTCCCCCCTATACCCCCACGACCCGCGATCTCTCCATTTTTTAACTGCCTCTTCCCTCCCTGCGTCTTATCTGGCACACCAGGTCCTGTGCTCGTCGGAGCCGTGTTCTTTTTGCTTCCATCACACCTGCCTTCACATCCTCGGTTCCTTCCGTTGCCTGTCTAAAAATCTCTGACAAGCCACTCCCCTCCCGGTTCCTAGGAGACCCTCGACTCCCTGCTCGGTGCGCCACCATACCCTATCACACCCGACCACCTTGTCTCCCCACCTAGCGTCTAACCCCCCCCCCCGGCTCTTATATCTACTGCAGCTTTCTGCTGCTCTTCCATCCAACCCGTCCGGTACTCGTTGCCCTCGCTTGAGCGTCTCGCCGCTTGCTCCGGATCTCACCGCCCCATTGTTTCCCCATGAGCCTTCTTCGGGTTTCCGTAAACGCCCGGTTCTGTGGATCCGGATCCCTGTTCTTCCGCAGCCCTGAGAGCTGCCTCCTCTCCTTTTTCTTCCTTCCTTTCCCGGGTTTCTCTTCTACTTTCTCTCCTCGTTTGAGTTACCTTGTCTCTGTAGCTTCAGTTAAGTTCCTTCGTCTCATTTTATTTTAAATATCTACCCAATACCCGATTTTTAATCTCAGATTACTTTCTTTGTGGGAGTGAAAGTAAAGGCATTCACTTTGGTGGAGGGAAAGCTTTGTGGAAAGTTGGCATTTCTCTTTGCCTCTGGTGGAATTTAATCATTGTATTTGTCCGTGCTTTGGCTGGGGTGAGTTGTGAATGTCAGGACCACCCCGCCTCTCATCTTTTTTTTTTTTTCTTTTTCCCCCCAAGTGGGGATAGGGGTATGGAAAACGGGTTTATTGATATTGGTGTCAGTTTATCAGTTCCTGGAACTGTTAACTGGCGGTTTGAATTTAGAAGCTTGTGTGTGAAGCGTAGACTGTTGGAATTCAGAATGGATTAAAAAAAAATCAAACTTACCTACAAATAACATTCATTTGTTAAAAAGCATTGGTAAAAAGATGTTTTTGCTTCACTTTCTTTATGTGCTCACTGTCAGTGGTAACGCTTGAGTTTAGACTCCGTTTTATGCTGATAATCTTTTGGGGAACTGGTTTTTTTTAATGTCACCGCATTACTCCATTCACTAATTTAGGTACAGTTAATAGAGCTAACTCCTCCCAACTTTTTCCCAGCCTGGAAGCCACCTGTAATATCCTCCTTTTTCTTTCCACTCCATTACCTCAAGGTACAAAGCTCAGTGGATCCCCCAAGGTTTAACTCAGCGGAGCTTTAACCTGAAACTTTTCAGGGGAAAATAGGGAAATGGGCGCAATAATATGTTCCCTTTTTAAATTACTGCTGGACGTGTTAGCCTGACTGACTTTCGTCCTTCATAAAAGTTACTTTGTTTTGCTGTTTGAAACAAGAGTGAGCATGTACTGAAAGGGAATTAACTGTCAGGAGTCCTGTTTTGATAGCTCATTTGGACTTTGGTGGTTAAGGTTTGCACCTTTAAAAAATGTACAGAATATGAATTCTTCCATACTTTGCCTAAGAAGTGCTGCTATTAGAACAAGTTACTACTACAGCCAAGCCCCATTATTCATTGTAATTTGTTGTTCGGCAGTGAAAAAAAAAATCATTACTGCTTGGTTTTCTCTGGTACTCAGATCTTGCCGGCTTTTTAACTGTCGTTCCTTATGTGTTTAGAGAATGCAGAATATATTTAAATGGTGACATTCTTACAGACAGTAAATTTATTCAAATGCGTTGTGAATCCATAGTAGTTTTTTGATTGTCTGACATTTTGGAGTAGACACTCCTACTGTTTACTTCCCTTCCAATGATTACTTAAAGTCAGCAATTTTATAATTTTGTGCTAATTGTTAGTTTTTGGGGGGAATGGGTTGAGAAACTACTTGTGACTGTGTTAACTCTTTCCTCTTTACTCAATTCAAAATGAGAAATTATAACAAGAATAGATATAGCTTTTAAAAGCTGTTGTAAAGACTTGTTTTATTTTAAATGTAGCAGCCGTTCCTTTAACACATTGCCAGAAAATAGGTTAGATAAAGTTAGAACGGTGATATTTGCTTGTGATTTTATAAATGTTAGCCTTTTTTCTTGTAATAGCAGCCACTGCAGATGCTAACTGGTATTAAGTGTAGAGGATAACCTCACGGTTGTAGTTCTTTTTCTCTACCATTGCTGTGTTTACAAGTTCCAGACTTCCTAAGAACTTGAACATTCCTGGTAATGCTTGTTTGTTTTTAATCTGCATAAATAAAGTGCCGCTAGTCTTCACAATGAGGTTTTAAAATGTAATACTATTTCTCTGTTGTTTAAAATGCCCTTATAACTAGTTTTCACTAAAATAAATTTACTGTAGGTAAAGTCTGACCAATGAGTGGTTCAACTAAATTCCTGCCTCCTACACACTTGAACATGCTTTTAGAGAATTGTCCACAGACAGTTCTTGGTCCCGACACCATGAACTTTAGGGTTTAATGTAAAGATTTATCGTTTCAAGTACTTTTTTCCTCTTCTAGAAATCTCTCTTTATAGTAAAATAGTTCCCTTGCACTTTTTAATATCTTAGAAAACTAAGCCCTACCTAGTTGAACTTAATGAAAACAATTTTATTTTTTAAATGTCAGTATTTAACGTAGATGTGCTGAGAACTGTTGTTTTTCCTATACGCCCTTAAGAGTGTGGAGGTGGTTTCTGTGCCCTTTCTTGCCAAGATTAAGCACACTTTTCCCTGTCTACATTACACTCTTGTTTAAGAAAGATGTTTTGCTTTGCTTATAGGTGTCAGTGGATAATAGTGTTAAGTTATATCCCTAGTGTGAAATGAGTTGTGAAACTTTAAAACATATTTGAAAAAATAAACATGATTTGCATTTAACTTAAGGCCTCTAGTGGCCATAATTAAGTAGACGAATAAACCAAACCCACTGCTGTTGATTCGTCTCATAGCGACCCTATAGGACAGAGTAGAACTGCCCCACAAGGTTTCCAAGGCTGTAAATCTTTATGGAAGCAAACTGCCACATCTTTCTCTCATGGAGCGGCTGGTAGATTTGAACCGCCGACCTTTCGGTTAGCAGCTGAGCACATTAAGCACTGTGCCATCAGGGCACCTCGAGTAGAATAGCAGTCCTTATATTTGAAGGACTTTAGTTTGCCAGGCAATTATTAACCATTATCTCATTTAATCCTCTCTCATAGCTATGGGAAAGGCAAACCATAGTGCATAGAAACTAGCATCTTACTCCATTTAAAGAAAGTATAGAATGCTTAAGATATCCATAATGATTGAAGTATAGGCAAAACACAATTTTTAATTTATAAATTTTTAATTTTAAGAATATTCTTATCTGATTTGACAACATGGCTTATCTCTGTTGATCTACTTTTATTCTAGTCTTTTCCTTTTTTTTGATATGAGTATTTTTCCTTTGTACTTGTTTTATTTACTCTACTTGGGCATTTACATTGTGACATGTTTTGTTGAACTGTAATATTTATGTTCATGTTAATAATGGCCTCATTTCTTTTTAATCCATATTTTCCCTGCTTAATTTCCAGGGACACTTCATTTAAACCACCATCTTCCTTACATACTCTAAAACAAAATCAAGATAAAATGCTTATTAAGTGTCTGTTATGAGCATATCTCTAGGGTAGATAACAGCCTGCATATTTGTGTATTGTGATCTGGGTCTGCCAGTAGCAGTTGCCATCCAGTTGATTCCACTTCATAGTGACCCCATGTATGTCACAGTAAAACTGTGCTCCATCAGGTTTTCAATAGCTGATCTTTTGGAAGTAGATCACCGGGTCTTTCTTCCGAGGGTGGGCAGAAACTCTAGGTTAGCAGCCCATGCTCGTTAACTGTTTGTGCCACTTAGGGACTCCTAAAGTATATTGTATTAACTTCACAAGTGTTAAGTTTTTATCCTCCTTGAGATATCTAGTTATGTTTCTGAATAGTAAGTATTTTAAAAGAAACTCTAAAGAGAACTGGACATTCAGCCATTCAGCCAAGTATCTTTTTAATTAGGCTTCACTGGTGGACTGACTGACTTTAAGGAATACTTGATATTAGACTTTAGGCATCTGTTTTTAATCCTTATAACAGTGCTTTTTTATGTTTACTTTTTACATGTTTTGTATATCTGAATAGTTTTTTGGAGATGTCTTTGTATTTAATTTGAAGTTAGAGTGGCAGGTAAGAAGTGAAACACTTCATATGAAAGGACTTGGCTTTTTTCTCATTTGATTTGTGAGGCGCATGTATGAAATATTTTATTAGATGTTTTAAAAATGTGTTAATAATAATTCATTTTAATTAATCTTTAGTATTGCTTTAATTTAAATATAATAGTTTATTTTGACCATGATTATCATTTAGGATATTTAATGTGAAGGTTCACTATAATGCATAGAAGGTAGCTTATATTTGTTGCGTTTTCTGAAGTTCCAGATTGCTTAGTATCGTTATTTCTCCCTTAAAGAAGTTAGAAAAAGAAACTTAAAGACTTCTTTTTTTCCTAAATTTTATTTATTTTGTTGTTGTTGAGAATATGCACAGTAAAACATATACCAATTCAGCAGTTTCTACATGTACAATTTAGTGACATTGATTACATTCTTCAAGTTATGCACCATTCTGACACTCCTTTTCTGCATTGTTCCTTCCTCATTAATATAAAATCACTGCCCTCTAAGGTTCCTATCTGATCTTTCAGAGTTGCTGTTGTCAGTTTGATCCCATATAGATCGTTCTCAGGGCATACTTTTTTTTTACTAGTTAAGCTAAATTGTAGTTTAGTTTTAAGATGACTTCAGGAGATATTTTTGGTTTAAGGTTTAAAGATTATCTCAGGGCAGTAGCTTCAGGAGTTCATGCACCTTAAAAGCTTCTTGGTAAGAGGTTAGAGACCTACAAAGAAATAGGGTTAGACTTTAAAGGCTTAGTATTTGCTCTTCCTGTTCTTTTGGTGGCTAAAGTGGCATTTCCCTTACTTTGCGTTCTGCCTCAGTATGTTCCCAGTAAAACTGTTTAATACATTTTTCTAGAGAACTGAAATTTTGGATTGACCTTTTAGAGTTTTGTATGTTCATGGTGTATATGGTTCTTTTCTTGTAGAATCATTCCTGGGCTGTTAAATTTGACTAATGATATTCCTTAAAGGAATTTTGATGAACCTAAACCTTTGTATTAAAAA